AAGAACACATAGTCTGTTATCAATAAATGATAGCAAAGTATAGAGGGAGGTAAATTACCTGTGTTTCTGCTGCTAATATCCTCTTTATGCGTCTCGGAATTGATGCATTCCCTGTTTATACCCATAAAGTAAATTCGCTTAACACTCACAAATGAGGAATATCCCATGTTCCTTTCTCAGTTTAATATAATTCATGATATGCAGAATGGAGAAGTCGGTTATACTCACATATATCTGTTATCCTCAGTTTCTCCTCATGATTCGATACTTGAATTTTGTCTTAAGCTCTATGATGTATTCATTGTAATATATTATAACCACCCCCACGACTTCTTCACTATTTTCGCTCTCTGTGTTATTATATGTATCGGGGGGTAATCACAATCAAGTGGTTTATCATTATTCTCGTCATTCCTTATCGATTCCGGTTTGATTCTGATTGAGATACTTTCATGTCACTGTATCGTCCGTTGCTTTACATAGGGGTGTAATACTCAAACTTCTTGGTTCTTTTTTTTCTTATATTTTGCCCATAATAAGTAATCCTCCCTAGAAAATTAATCACACCGGGTTACCACATTCGTAATAGTGAGCAGCTGGCGTAACTGGACAAGAGAAATCCCTAAATATAATTATTGCAATATCTTCTCCCCCGCATAGTTTATTGTATGGCGAAGAATCCTTAACTCTTCCTATTCACGCGCATAGGTCTTCCCATTTAGTCAATCTTCTTATTCAAAATCGATTTCTTCTTTACTTAGTATTAAACCGGGGTAATGACAGATTTGAAAGTTCCATTAATACCATGAGAGCGTCTTAGCTCGTCTTAGACCTCAATATCCAGAAGGGTATATCCTCTAAGGGAATATCAGATTCACATGAGTGAGGGATTTGTTATCAAAATAAATAACTATAAACTCCTTCACTTCATTATTAATTGAATATTTAGCAACAATATCCTTCACCGCTTGTGTCTAATTGCAAGCAATTCCTTCTCCGAGTAGGTTTAGTATACTTTATCCACCTTCATCGGTTCTTCACGTATCATTTTTTGCAAATGTGTCACAGCGCACTACCCCTAAATTCCTCGCTATCGTGACTACAGAATGTCCTTGAGTGCCAGGTATGTCCCCCCTTTGTCATTATGTTTACTACTTTTCCGGATACGAAATTAGCAGTCCTGAGCACACCACAAACGCGGTTTAGGCCCCCTAACACTAAATGATGATGGTATTGCCTTTATTGAGGTTTCAGTTATTATCATAACAGTCGGAAGTGTCATTACAGAGGCTATCTTTCTTATGGAAGTATATATATATGTATATATATGCACAGGCGGAAGATATCATTTAGTGCAGCGTGGTCAGTATTTAGGGGGCGCTGAAGAACAGGGGCTAACCCCTTGTGGCAACTCTCTTCCTTAGCGCAATACATCCCCCTAGAATTGCTGTTTACACTCAAATCCAGGAAGCACACATCCAGAGGAAGAGTATACGTGCAAACAGCACTGTGTGGCCCTCACTGCGAGGAAAAGAGGAATATATAAAGTGATGACATGTCATGGTGCGGCCCTTAATATGTATAGCTAATATGTAATGAACACATCCCGAAAAATGTATACATGCAGAATAAGAAGGAAATGCTTCCCAGAAGATTCTAGATATACATACGGAACTCTTAGATGAAAAAAGAAAAAAGAATGCAAATTAACCAAGGGAAATTTCTTCCAAGTAGTCGTGCACACATTTATGATAAATACAAGTGTAACACGTGGAATTACTTGACGGAGCAAGGTATCCAGGATGGATGCACACAACTGTGGTGATCTGTACATACAGGGGCATCCGTGCCATAGTCTGGAACATTAATACTCGTATATTTCTCATAGGGTGAAGGAGGACAATTACTTTCACAATTTACCGCAGGCACAGACAAGGTAAGGATAATGTCTTCAGGAAAATGTAATGTCCAGAAGCAATAAGCTTAACGGGAAACGACAAACTCCCTTCATACAAAGGCAAGCAGGTGTCTGTGGCAGCTATGTTTCGAAACAACAAATACATATGATAAAGTACATTACAGATAATTCCTTCCACAAAATTATGAGGCTGTACAATAAGGAGACCCCCAAGTATGTAATACATAAGACGAGCAGTAACAATGCATGAATAGGATGCGATAAACAGGAACAGGAGGTGCATAGTCACAGATTACGTGTAGTTACAAATGGGAAAGTACATACAGGAGTGTGCATACCGCTATTCATGATGCTTCTGGATAGATAAGAGAAGGAATAGGATTCACAAGACGTGAAGTTGTAAATAAGGGGCCACATAAGAAAGCTTTTGGACGACGACAATATGGACATATCCCCAAACATAGCAGATACACAAAGAATCTTTGTGCGGATGTCAAGGAAGAAAAAAACGCTGAGTATAGAACGCGAAGATTTAGAGGCCTCATATAAAAAAAGAAAAAGAGACAATAAGACGAAGGCGCTAACCACGATGATAATGATGCAGAAGTAGCAGAACAGCTTCAGGGGCGGAATATTAAACGCATACTTACATGTTACATTGGAATGGTTTTCATAGGGATGGCCTAAAATGAGATGACCTCAGAGAAATTTTATAGATACAGAGTACAGAAAAAGGTGAGGAGGTTCTCCCCACAGGACGAAGGAGACACGTATTTCTAAAGACACGGACATTACGTAAGTGAAATAGTTAATAAATTAAGAAGATAATAAACCCCACAGTTGGGCACAATTACAATGCGAAGCACATGTCAAAGGGAGCTGATAAATTGCGACTAATCATCTGAGGAACCTATCTGAAGGCCGCGAAATATTCCATCTACGATTTTATGCCCCATGCGTCTTCAATGGGGGGGTACGAAAATTTTCCATAACAGACAACGAAGAAGAGATCGCCAAGTGGCAAATGGAGAATTTGCTATTTGTAATAATCCTCTCAGGAGGTCCCTGAAAGTAGTTCACTTATTTGTCCTCTTCAATACTTCTTATACACAACAAACTAGACACATACGGAACAGGTGGAAAAAGATTACTGTTCATTTGTTTTACTTAATGAGAAGCATTGCATATTGGAATTCTTTATTCCTCCGCACGTACTAATTTAGGCCGAACTGTTCTATAAGACACACAAAAACATGGAATTTATAGAAGATGCACACCACCACGCGGTCGGGTTTGTACGAAACAGGGCACAACCCACTCAGGACGCCGCAGATGGAATCACACATTGATAAAATATCCTTAGAGATAAAATCATGAGTTGACAGTAGAAAAAAAAACACAGCAAGCAAATGTAAGTACCACAGCATTCTCGAAGACCAGGATGTCCACTACTTACATATCAGATCAGTCTGCCGTAAAGTTGTAATTACAAAATCGCCTATCATTCATTTACCAACCTAAATAGAAGTGATGTTATTTTTTGGACATATATATTGTTCTAATGAGAGAATAATTAATGTATGTGTTACTGGAGGGATTGAGAGGATTCCTAGTAGGATGGAAAAAGAAGGAATTTCGTGTTTATATCTTTGCGAAAAAGGATTTGTCAAATTTGACGCGGAAGAGGAACATATAGAAATATGGTGTTCTCGGAATAGGCCCTGTTCTCCTTAAATAGGGCTCTTCATATAACACATCAGGTAAGATACCACAGTTCCTGTCGACGTCCCCGCTTAACTTTACTAGAATATATATGATGGTAACACCTACATTATATCGAAATGTGTTAAATCACAAGGTGATCGCTTGTTTTTATTCTTTTTATGATTTCTGTGATATGTAATACAGTATTCGTATCTATCTGAAGACTCATATTCTCACCTTCTTGTTATAATCCTTTAAATGGTTATCTTGTTTAGTGAAGTGTCCCCTTTGTCCTCTTCAGATCCCCAAGCTGTCATATTCTGAATTCGCGCCGCCATATTCTCTGCTTCCACATATTCGTCGCACAGTGGCACATGGTGTACTAGACAGGTAAACAGGATTTCCTCATCTTCTATCACCAGAATCTGGTATATATCCTCACTGAAAGATCCCTCATTCGTTTCTAGGTATATATATTATTCCACCATGATGATGTTCCCTTAATTTTTTCTTCCTGTTCCCTTTTCTTCTTTTCTTTTCTCTTTTTTCCTCTTTTTTTTCTTTCTTTCTTTT